TTTTGGTATAGGAGATGGACGCAATAAATATGAGTTCATTAAGAAGAACAGTGGCTATAAGTAAACTATATCCATTCCGAGGGACCTTAGCTACAACTTACTGAGAAAAGTAGTTTTTGTTGCTCAGTTCCTATCGCTTAGTACAAAAAAAGTGAAAAGAAATTAACAAGGGCACATTCAAAATGTGTACAGATTAATGATAATGAAACATGAACTGAAGTTTCAAGTTCAATTATAGATATCTTTACTTATAATAGGAATTGATTGGAAGTGCAGCCAGCAAGCTGCATACAGGAAGAAGCAGAAATGACCAGGTAATTTCGACAATTATATCATACCTACAAAAAATTCTTCATTCTGATTGGCTAAGGAACCGTGAATCTTTTTTTAATTCATGCAATTAATTAATACCATGCATGTTATTAATTAATGCACAAATATATCCCAGAAATCTCTGTGAATGATTCTCTCATGCTTCCTTTTTTTTTTGGTAAGGTCTTTGCACAAGAGAATCATTCTGTCGAGTGACATTGGTTATTTGCTTTGAATTTGAAAATGGAGCATTGCTTCCCTGCTGATAACAAAGTTTTTTTAATAGTTGAAACTTCTCATAGTATATCTTGAAATGAATTACTGTTTAATGCATCAAGATTCTCAGCTGTCTCGCTTCCTTTCCACTCTATTTTTTATATTTTTTATATTATATTCCTGTCTTGTACATTACTTTAAAAAATTCTTGTTTGTAACGGGCCTTGGCCCCTACTTGGCCAAAAAGATACTGGATTGACTTAAAAGGAGCAAAAGGAAGTGTTGTCTACATTCTCACACCCAGACTCTACTCAAGTGGCCTAATGTAGGTTTTGGGACACCCTATTAATGGGAAGCAAGAAGCCTCTCTCCAGACTCTCTAAGAATTTTTTTTTTCAGGTAATCGCTGGTAAAAACAGGATTATAAACAACCTGGGTCTGCTCAGTGACACTAAAATAACCTTTGATTCAGCATTCTGGAATTTTGAATTTTCTTCAAATCARTTGAATATCATTTACCAGAGAGAAAATATCAGAGAAAATATCTTTCATTTTGTTTCAAGTCTTTTTTTTTGTTCCAAAGCTCGCTATCACACTAAAGAATTATGAAACAGGCTTTCATTTTACTAAGCTTTTAAAGAGAATTTTGACAAGAATATAGAAAAAATCATACCTGATACTTTGTAGTACAAATTATAATTTGAATAATTATAATCTTCATTTTCTGGTATCGGAACTTTTCATGCACTGCTTATCTCAGTTAATGTARCGAACAAAACAACAGAGTTGAAAAATATGTTTTGTCCTTAATGACCTTCTCAATTTCAACTGACARTTGATGGTTTACTCGGGCAATACGTTGTACAGATGCGTGCGCTAAGGGCACATGCTTTTAATTGTGGAACACAAGCACAAACATAACAGTACACACATTAAAATACACTATATTAGCCCTAGGCATATTTACAAAGTTCCACTCGTTCTTATTATTGATAACTTTGGCTTGATTTTGACTGCTGATCTTCACAGACCCTGGGATCTGCCTTAACATGGTGTCTCCTTGATATATACCTGTTACGTTCATAGTAAAACTAGTCTTTGTTCCKTTATGTTTGTATTTGTCATGTCTGTATATAACTGATGACTCAATTTCATTATTCATATCATTCAAGTGTTCTCTTCCTCTGCTGTAAGCATTTCTGCTAGTYTCGCCGATATAAACATCACCACATGCTTTACATCTCAACTCATAGGTAATACCAGCGGCTTTGCAATTACCTTTGCCTTCAGTTCTGCAAACAAAGCAATCTTCCTTTTTTTCAACTTCTCAATAATTATAATATACCGGTAATAATTTGAATTTGAATTTTTGTCCATTTGCTATTTTGATTAGAATCATGTGGCCTGAAATTACAGGGTGTCCCTGAGYCTTCGAATTTTGGGATGAAGATAGAAGTAGTCTGGGTATCAGAATGGTGTTGCTTGCTATTGAGGAGCCTAAATTTGATTATTTTGATAGTAACTTTGGTGAAATTCAGCATTGCTAATTAATTAACACTTTAACCTAAGTACTTTTTTTTCTGAACAGGCACAAGTTGATACCAGGTGAGAAATAACTTAATATGTAACATGTATTARGGGGGTGTTATATTAGGTATTTTAGGATTAAAAGTTGATTTGAAGTGGAAGTTAACACNTTTGCATCTTTAACACCCACTACGATCCTGTCTCTAATCATCTCTTCTTTTAGATTACCATAAGCACAATTTTCAGCGAGACAGTACAAAGAGGTAATGAATTCTTCGGCTGACTCGTCTACGTCTTGTTTACGTTGATTGAATTTTGCTCTTTCATAAATTACGTTACGTCTCACGTTAAAATAAGCGTCAAACTTTCCTTTCACAATGTCAAATTKGGTGTTTTCACCTTCGTCAAACACAAAGGTTGTCAGGACATCATCAGCCGAAGGTCCCATGGCGTATATTAACGAGTTTACCTGGATATCCTCGCTTTTCTTGTGTAGCTCTGAGGCAATTCGGAAACGGTTAAACCGCCTGATCCACTTCTCCCATTCCTCGGGCTTTCTGAAGTCAAATTCGTCTGGAGGATTGATTTTGGTCGCCATTTTGACTTGTTTTCAAGACTGACTACAACGATDAATAATTTGCAATTTTCTCTTCTTTTCTCTTCGCAGTAGACCCAGATTTTCGCTAAATTAAGTCTTCTAGTCGTCTTCTTTTGTTTATATGTAGTTTAAACTTCTGACACCATGTTATATTARGTATTTTAGGATTAAAAGTTGATTTGAAGTGGAAGTTAACACACAGACCAACATGCGGTAACAAGTGATTTTACTGGAAATCACGTGACTCAATATAATACAACASGGGGTTGGGGGTTATAAGGGTGGATATTCAAAACACATTTTTTATATTTCAAAAAATATAGAAATGATAAACTTACTGTAATTTAAAACTGAATGGGACCTTGAAAAACAACTAAATGTAGAATTCATGTGAAAGAATGGCTTGTAATGTGACAACATGATCTTAACCAACTAGTGACTTCAATACTAAATTATAAGAAGCACAACAGAATTTATCTTACAACTAACTGAATGCACTAAGCTAAATCTAAATAAAATACAAYAATTTCATGTCTATACAGTATATTAGAGATAGCCAAAATTGTATTGCTGCAGCAATTAGCAAGCCTAAGGTTGCTAGTTTATATTATATTATAATGCTAGTTTGCATTAAATTATAATGCACATTTCRTTTAGCAATTTAAATTAGCTTATTTTTTTTCTTGTTGGATCAGGAAGTTTGTATTGAATGTAAGTTTCAATTTTTTTTTGCAATTTTATTGCAATATAGCACCATAAAATACATCCAGCACAAATGAGTGTAAAATATCTGTCATATTCATTGAGCTCCAGAAAAATAACTGTTAGTATATAATTATTAGAGGGTTTGATTGAGGAATTTAGAAAACGAAACTGTTCCATGTTTTTGGATGCTCAAAACTAGCTGACTGAAAAAATGTTCAAAACAATACTTTCATTAATTTKTCATGTAAGACACTTTCAGGATAAACGAAGAAAGGCAKTTTGCAACTGTTAGCAAAAACTTATTTTGAGGAGGTGAACATTTGCTTAGGAAGCTGGTTTCGAGCATCCAAAAGAACATGTTCTCAGAAGATTTATTTCCCTAGGAAATCCCTCAAGAATCAAACCCTCTGATNATGCACATTTCGTTTAGCAATTTAAATTAGCTTATTTTTTTTCTTGTTGGATCAGGAAGTTTGTATTGAATGTAAGTTTCAATTTTTTTTGCAATTTTATTGCAATATAGCACCATAAAATACATCCAGCACAAATGAGTGTAAAATATCTGTCATATTCATTGAGCTCCAGAAAAATAACTGTTAGTATATAATTATTAGAGGGTTTGATTGAGGAATTTAGAAAACGAAACTGTTCCATGTTTTTGGATGCTCAAAACTAGCTGACTGAAAAAATGTTCAAAACAATACTTTCATTAATTTKTCATGTAAGACACTTTCAGGATAAACGAAGAAAGGCAKTTTGCAACTGTTAGCAAAAACTTATTTTGAGGAGGTGAACATTTGCTTAGGAAGCTGGTTTCGAGCATCCAAAAGAACATGTTCTCAGAAGATTTATTTCCCTAGGAAATMCCTCAAGAATCAAACCCTCTGATTATAATTTTGTTGACTGTGGACAAATGATGAAGTATAGTCATTTTCTGGAGCTCATCAAAAACAACAGATGTTTTTTTCTTAAAAAAAAAGGATTGCTGACTCAGGTGTGTTTGATTTTGCTATACCAACACTTTTCCAGTTGAAACTTACATCATTTTCATCTGCCACGCTTGATGTCTGGAGCAAAAGATATTTTTTGTCCATCAGAAAAAGTTCACCATTTCCTAATTGAGATTGGGTGTTTCAACCCACTGCTAAATTCATCCAATCATTCTTCCTGAATTGTTCTGGATTTCCCCTCTGAAGAGTGAAGAAGAAAGTTACATGAAATACCTTTTGTGCACTAAAGTTGCCATTATTAAATTTTCAGGATGTGGCTTAGATCAGAAATTAAAAGGCATCGAATTAATGTGATAGATCTCATAAAAGTCATGGTCAAGCGAGCAAATGAGTAAGTCCAATAATCCCAGCCCAAGTATGATGTAAATGCGGCCATTTTGTCCTGTGCCATACTTGTCGCAATGACAACTGTATAGAAGTATCATTCATATCAATGTTTTCTCTTTGAGTTATGAATGTTTGAACAACCTTCAATATGCAAATGGCGTCAAGGAAGGCTTCATTAGATTTGCAAAATTTGAAACAGTCACTCCAAAATGCAATGAAGGAGCTGTTTGCTAATTTTTCGTTTTCAGGTTACGTCACAGCGACCATCTTGGAGGATTTCTCATTAGTATCTATGGTACATTCCTCCAACACGGTCGTAGGTCTTTTATCTTTTGAATCTCATGCCGGGAATGGTTGAAAGYGATCAATTTAGATCAAGAGGTCCAAGAGGGTGCAGTTAAGGCAGAGGGTTGTATTTTTCAAAACACGTTACAATGGTGTAATGTAGCTATATTATAGTCATCCTTGGTTTGGGTTACCTGTGGTAGCCTCGTTTCTATAATAAAAGCACGCTTCCGAAACAGCATGGCGTCGTGTCAACTCATAGTTAATAGTAACTATGGTCAACTTTGATCTTCTCTCTCTAGTTTCTATTGTTTATTTCTGGAGTACAAAACACTACATGGTGTCAGATTAACTGGGATTAACAAAATGGCAAGTTGGCAGATCAGCCCACCAGAGAAATTTGAGTTCGGAAAGCCAGAATTGTGGCCTAAATGGCGTAAACGCTTCGATCGTTTTCGAGTCGCCTCGGGTTTGGACAAGAAGGATGGCCCAAGCCAAATCAATGCCTTGATTTATTCAATGGGTGAGAGAGCAGACGACATTTTTAACACTTTTACATTGACCGAAGAAGAAGAAGAGAGCTATGATGCAGTAGTGGAAAAGTTTCAAAGTCATTTTGTCAAGAAGCGAAATCCAATCTTCGAAAGAGCCAAATTTAACCAAAGAGTGCAATTATCTGGCGAAAGCGTAGATTCGTTCATCACTGATCTACATAGTTTATCGGAACATTGTGCTTATGGTACTCTTACCGATGAATTGATTCGCGACAGACTTGTTGTCGGTCTTCGTGATGCTAAACTGTCTGAAAAACTACAGATGAATTCTGAATTAACCTTGGCCAAAGCAATGGATCAGGCAAGATTGGACGAAGCGATAAAGAAACAACAAAGTGTCGTCAGAGGAAATACAACTCAGACTGGTGGTCCAGAACAAAACGTCGAGTTCATTCAGAGGAAAAAGTTTCAAAAGAAAAAGAATCCTACTCCACAAGTACCTGATAACAAGAAATCAGATGAAAGTAAATGTAACAGATGTGGGAAATCGCCTACTCATCCTCGACAAGAGTGTCCAGCAAAGAATGCTACCTGCCACAAATGTAAAAAAAAGGGACATTTTAAGTCTGTCTGTAAGTTTCTTTGTGAAGTCTGTGAGGACGGTGATGATGACGATGATGATGATGAGGAATTCTTTCTGGGATCAGTCCACGTTGATGAGTTAAAAAGTGAAGATACTTACTGGAATGCCAATGTTAAGCTCCAAGATCTCTCCGTCAATTGTAAAATAGACACTGGTGCTGATGTCACTGTTGTACCAGAACATATTTTCAAGAAAACAGGCTGCAAATTGTTGAAAACAAATGCAAATCTCTCGGGCCCTAACCAACAAAAGCTGGACGTCTGCGGTATGTTTGAAGCTAATATATCTTACAAAGAACAGTCATCCATGCAAAAGGTTTATGTTGTTCGTGGTTTGAAGCGCCCTTTACTGGGTAGGCCAGCTATCGAAGCCTTGAACATTGTGTCATTTGTTAACGCTGTTTTTGAGAAAGATGATGTTGTCAAGAGATATCCCAAATTATTCACAGGCCTTGGTAAGCTTGAGACAGCATATCATATTGAGCTAGAAAAGGATGCTAAGCCTTATGCACTTTTCTCTGCTCGAAGAATTGCCTTGCCACAGCTACCCAAAGTGAGAAAGGAACTGGAGAGACTAGAGTCTCTTGGAGTTATATCAAAAGTTGAAGTTCCCACAGATTGGTGCGCTCCTATTGTTGTCGTCCCAAAACAAAATGGGCAGGTCCGAATATGTGTTGATTTAACCCGTCTAAATGACTCTGTTAAACGCGAGAGACACATACTGCCATCTGTAGAAGAAACCTTAGCACAGCTTGGCGGAGCCAAAGTGTTCAGTAAATTAGATGCAAACAGCGGTTTTCACCAGATACCTTTAACAGAAGAGTCAAAGCTCCTCACAACGTTTATCACTCCATTTGGACGTTACTGTTACAATAGATTGCCCTTCGGCATAACTTCTGCTCCCGAACATTTTCAGAAGAGAATGTCTTCAATCTTGTCAAACGAAGAGGGAACAGTGAATATGATCGATGATACACTGGTTTTTGGCCGCAATCAGCAGGAGCATGATGAGCGTCTTCACAAGGTACTGAAAAGGATAGAAGCGGCAGGAATTACCCTGAACTTAGACAAATGTGAGTTTGCTAAGACAGAGGTCACCTTCTTAGGCCATGTGGTAGACAGCAATGGGATACGACCTGATCCTTCAAAGATCAAGGCAATAAAGGATATGGCTGCTCCAGAGAACATA